CATTATTTTTCTAAGATCTACCTGTACAAATTTGGGTATATTTTCTTTATGACAGAATCACTGTGATTTAAAAACCCAATTTTTCACATGGCATTAAATTGGGGACATCACATTCCCACATTCACTACCACAGTATTGTGAATGATGGATTGTCTCCACATCCTTGTTCTCCCCTGATGGGCTAGCCATTAGGCACCATTTCTCCAGGAAACTTCAGAGAGATTTAGGAATCCTTTCTGGTGTGATGAATATTATACCTGTACGATCCTGTGGTCACAGAATCAATGTTAACTTGTCCTTGTTAAATCATTCTGCCAAAGCTACTTTGTTTTGGTAAATACAGACTTCCAATTGAGTGGTGACTAAGTAAAGCCCTTGTGTATAGCTTGGAACAGATTTCATAAATAGTTCCAATGAAAGATATTTGGAAAAAAAAAACACAAGAAAAAAAATCCTTATAGCTATGAAAAAATGCTTTTAGAAAAATCACTTGAGAATTCAAATTTTCTTATTCACTTAAATGTTCAAGCAATACATTTTAAAGGAATGATGATACATATATCAGTTTTCAATGGTAGCTTATTAAAAATGAGTATCTGAGGGCATTTTCCAATTTCATCCTGTTTGTGCAGCTCAAATTAATGTTTATTTTACTGAAAATATTTATAATGTTACAATATAAATACATGATTATATTAAGATAGGATGACTATATAGAATGTATTCTTATCTATAGATATAAAATGAATGCAGTAAATATAGCACACTCTCGAATCGTTAGTACACAGTGTTTCTCAGTAAAGTAGATACTGTACAACCTATTGTTAAGCAACAACTATCTAGTTTCCAAACGTACATCTTAAGAAGCTTTGGGGATGGAAGAGACATTAAATCCCCCAATACCCTTTATAGTTCATGAACGTTAGTACTTTAGCAAATCTTGAAATACTGTATTTATTTTAGTCACTTAGATTCCTCACATTTCCTTAACTTTAAACTTTATTTCTTTAGTCAGAATGTTTATTAAATAATGCTGTATCAGATAACCATACTTTAAAATTCTTGTACAGTATCATGTACTATCTTCTTATTAGTTACTTGAACATATATCAATATCAATAACATAAAATACATTTTAAAAGTTTTTTTGTTAGGACAAATTTCCAAAATTAACTTTCAGGGTATTATAGGGATCCTCAACTAGACAGAACCTCAACTGCAATATCTGGGTAAGAAATAAATTTTTAAAAATTTATTCTAGTCCTTAAGAATACAAATATGAACTCTACTTTAAAATTCTTTGTTAAATATATTGGGATTTGTTTCAAAAGCATCTTCTACCCTTCTCTGTTAGTTACATTAATCTAATGGAAACCTGTTACTACATTGGTTCCAACATAAACATGCATGCAAGAGATCACCCTACAGATTCTAACTATATAGTTATCGAAACACATCTCACCTGTCAAGTGGCATAAATGTACATCTTCTATATACAAAAGGTAAAGTGCATTATTAAATTAGTGAACTGACAGATTGTCTGCCTGGACCATATAGCTTGCAAATAGACAAATGTGAAATTCTCCCATTAGAACCAACTATTTCAAGAGGTTCCAATTAGCTTTTCCACCCTGTCATTTTTTTTTTTTTGGCCATGCTCTTTAGTGCAAATAAGCTTGTGTTTGACTCAAGTTTAAGGGACATGGCAGTTTGGGGCTTTAACAAGGAAAATTATAAAATGTGGCAGAACTTTAATACCTTTATAATACATTGCATCATTTGCATATAAGCAACAGATTAGTGCTGCTTTCAATTGCTAGGAGCATACTGCCAACTAATTCAAGGAACCCGTTTCTAAATTCCATAACTATTAGCTTATATTATTACAGTTTTGAGTCTGTACCACATAATGCTTAGATTATTACGTGCAAACATCAGTGTTTTAGTATTATACAGAGAACTACTAATTTTGGTTACTACTTTAACGTTCATTTTTTTGACTTGTAACATCCAGTTGCCTTAATAGTTAATGTCATCAAGGCAGGGATCCCGTTACTTTGAAGAAAACCATGTACACTTGCAGCTCCATTTAGGTTACAAAGGACAATAAATAAAATTTATATTGCACAGATAAGAATAGTAACTTACTTTACAAGATACATGGCAATACGTGTCCTAATACCAGAGTTTTGAGCTGGATCATGTTATGGCTAATGAATTTTTGGGAATTTTAAGTATCAAAAAAAGTCATAGCATTTAATTTTTCAGTGAATGCATTAACTATGAAAAAGTGAAACAAAAGGAGTGCCAGAAGACTTAATGATTCTAATGCATGTTCAACTGCTGATATGTATGCATCTATCCAATTTGCAACTGTGAAATGGTAAAAACTTCAAGGGATACATACATGATGTGAAATTTGGCATGTTAACTAATTTTCCTTAAGTAACTAAAATGCAAAAGCAAGCTGATATTTACATACAATGAATGAAGGATACTTCTATTTGAATATGACGTATTATGTGTGTCCCTATACATATGTCCATGGACACAGACACACATGTTCAAATCTCTTTTAACTAAAAACCAAAAAAAAAGAGAAATATTTTAGACCTAATGCATATAAATATTTTAGAAAGGAAGATTGTAAGAGAGAGAGTATACACTCATAGCAATAGTGATAGGAACAATTGAATACTGGAATATTCACAGTTCCAGTTTGCCAAAGTCTGACAGGTTGGTTATTAATAGGCACTATGATGGGCAGCAATAACAATCAGTAGTACAGTAATTCAAGTGCACATCCCTCCTTCATATACCAGGAACTACTTTTTAGCAAGACTACATAGCTATTTTTACAGTTTTAGGACTGTTTAAAAATCCTTGCTACTATTAGAGTCTCAACACCCACCATGTGCTATTAACTCTAGTACTAACATTGTCTTCTAACCTTCCGTTGTTCCGCAGTGATCCAGATGGTCCAGTTACAATGAACTGAGATTCCTTCACACTAAGTGAGGAAACGTGAAATACAATCTGCAAACCAATACCAGCATACAGGTCTGGGTTACTGAGTACTTGTTGTCAATTAGCATAAACCAATGAAACTAATTCCTTAATTCGTACCACAAGGTTTTCTTAGTGACCTGACTTAAACATATCTGGGGGAAACCCTTCGAGGAAAAAAAAAAAAAAGACTGTTCACATAATTCTGAATTACATGTACAGAAGAGGAGCTATATTCTGGTCTCCATCCACGAAGTCAGCTCTCTTTCCTAAGAACTGTATTTGGGAGTGGACATCAGTGTTCTGGCTCTTAAACATGAATATATGAACTTAACTGCATGGGAAATGAATAAATCCATGTTAAAAGACAGTTACTTCATTCAGAATAAAATGTAGCTCAACAGATGGTTTTAGTCAGTGAATACAGGGTAGGTTGGTACACATAATGGATATAGTTCTCCAATTTTTAAAAAAATTGCTTAGGTATTGAAAAGTTGCTGTGGCACTTCCTGGAAAGGAATTTTTAATACAGGTAAATGGGTGAGACTTGTCTAAGTAAACCTCTTTAAGAATCATAAAGAGCACCTTGGGAAACACCTGCGATTTTCTTTTAAATATGTTTATAATCAATCTTTAAATTACAATTTTTTCCCAGACTGATAACTAAATGCATTTATAGAGAAAAAATATGACTTCTTTTTTTCTTTCCTGGAATTAAAACACTTGTAAAAGTCAGGTTTATTCTCAAAGTGTAGACATGGTTCCAGGGTAGCAATTGCAAAAGTGCTATTAAAATGTTTTATTTCAGATGTATTTTTATATCAGTTAAATGGTGCACCAACCCCTCTGAAATAGTGTTGGATAAGAAGCATAAAATAGAACACCTTGGTCCACGATATATATATATATTTTTTGGGGGGGGATTAAAAAAAACCCTCTCATAATCTTAAATTAGCACGAACAGCTAAACTACCAAGATTTCCATAGCAAAGCCACTGGATGAAGCCTCTCACCCAATACTAACATAAAAGTAATTTCTGAAACTTTGGGAAGTCAGTAAACACAAATGGTACAATCAACAGAGGTGAAGACAGGATTGTTTCTGGTTTAGTGTAATCAACTAAAACTCTCCCATGGCTTTGATATGGCAACTATGAACTGTAGAGTTACCACAAAATTTGAAATTATAGAAATCATACTATAGTAATTACTAAGAAATATTTTTAAGGTTTAATTGGTTGATGAAATTTGATTCTTTAATGGTACTGTTTCATAATCAATTACAAAATTATTCTGCTTGTACTTTTATGAGTAAATATGGATACTCTACTGGAGGTTAATTTCTGTTTCTGTGGTAACTGTCCTACAGGCAAGCTTGGCAGCTTTTAATGAAGTAGGAATGGAATACTTTTTTTGGTGGTGTTTGGGGGCGGGGCAAGACTTGTTAAATACATTAAGGATATATATCTTTGTTCAGGATTATGTCATAATGCAAGGTATATCTTAGCTATGGTATTTAGAAGGTCAGAATGTCACATTTTGTGCTGATTTGCATACTTCAATAGTCTGGAACAGCTGAAAGTAGCTGAACTAATTTAGTTTTGGGGAAGTTGGGATTCCCATAACAATTAAGGTGAGCTATGCATAACAACGTGGAATCAGACTTCTTGAAGTATAAACTACTGGAGGTACTACTTAATAATACCAAGGGCAAAAAAGAGGAAAAAAAAAAAAACTTCTTCAAAATGGTTATGGATCAGTACTTTTAGCCAACCTAAGATTTAAAATTTTGCCTGATGGAGTTCAATTTCACTCTAGTCGAGGCATTCTTGTTCTTCACCACTGGCCCTTCTGCCATCCATCCTCTTTTCCTTATGGCTGTTGCAAATTTTCCTCATCTCTTCTTCATACTTGATAAAATTCTCCCCAAACCTTGTCCAAGCTTTGAACGGAACAGTAATAGTATTACGGTAAGGTGGCCTCACCTCACTTACCTTCAGGAAAATTCCATATTTATTAGAGCCCACATCAAAGTAGAACCTTTTATTGTCCACTCTGAAAGAAGTCCCCTCTGGGAGTTCGGGTGGGTCGTCGTCCCCGCCTCTTCGTTCTTCGATGTCCCCTTCGCCATAGTCTTCGATCAGCTGAACCAAGGCATCGCGAAACTCAATCATGCCCTGGGCTGGGAGGACGATGGTCTGCTCCTGGCCCAAGCCGTGGCCGAAGTAACCTATCATGCCCGCGCCCCGCAGCATGGTTTGCCTAATCCTCAGGAAGCGGCCCCGCTGGTTCTCCTTCAGGTCAAGGTAATACTTCCTATTGTCCCTCTCTATGTAGTCCGTTTTGAGGACACTGTGTGGATGCTCTTCCGACCCCACCGAGACGGGCGGGGAGGGCGCCGGGTGCTTCTGGCGTCTGCGGGAGCTCTGCTCTTTGCTGGGGCCGTGCTCGGGCCGGTGGCCTTTGAGGCCCAGGTGGGCGTAGTGCTCGATGAAGTCCCCTAGGCAGTCCTTGAGCTCCGCGGCCACGGACAGGGACAGGGTCAGCTTACTCTTTCGGATATTGTCCTGCCGGCCTCTTCCTATCCACACTTCGGCTATCTTGAGGAAGCGGCCCCGGGAACTCTGCTTCACGTCTAGGTAAAACCTCTTTTTCTGGATGTCCACTCGTTTGGAGGCCAGCTCCTGGATCTCCGCTGCGCCCCCAGCCTGATTAGGGGTGGCTGAGGCTGCGTAGTGGGGGTAGTGGGAGTGCTGGGCCTGGGGATACAGTCTACTCTTGCTTAGGCCAGAGCCCCCTAGATTCCTGCCGCCGCGGCCGCGGCCGCCGCCACCACCACCTCCCCTCCGCCTGGCTCTTTCCATCTTCAGCTGCAAGTGACAAACAGAGACATACACACGGGGTGGGGTGGGGGAGGGGTGAGAACAATCGCAGACGCCCCTCGGCCTGTGCAGCCCCCGCCGCCCGGAGCCCCTCAGCATCGGGCCGGCTCCCGGCGCTGGCCTCCCGCCGGACGGCGGCGGCGATGGCAGCAGCAGCAGCAGCAGCAGCAGCAGCAGCAGCATCGGCGGCGCCCGCCTTGCACCCCGCATCCCTCCGCCGTCCCTGACCGCCCCGCCGGCCTCCCCGGGCTCCGCAGCCCCGGGGGTCCCCAGCCCGCAGGCACTCACAGCGTCTCTGCCATCACCACCGCCGCCGCCGTCGCCGATGCCCTTCACGACCACCGCCGCCGCCAGCTCTCGGCCCCTCTGCCGCAGCCGCCGCAGCCGCCGCCCCCCGCCTCCTCCCGCGCCGCCGCCGCTCGCACTGCCCCCCGCCCGAGCAGCCGGGCAGAGGCATCGCCCGCGGCGCCCACCGCCGCCGCTGCCCCTCCTGCGGCCGCCGCCTCGGTTCCGGCACCGGCCCGACAGCCGCCGGGGAGCCGAGCAGGGAGGCGGGTCGGACCCCGCCTCCCTCGTCCCCACCCCGCACGGGCGGCTGCGGGGCTCTGGAGGAGGGCGTCTGGTCCCTCCGGGCGCGCCCGGACCGCAGCCTGGCGCGTGGGCAGGGTGCGTGTGGGTGGTGGCCGGACAGGTGTGAGGGTGGGAAGCAGGCCCCGCGTGGCGGCGGGAGTGCTCTGACTTCCTCAGGTTCCGCGGGGATGCAGGACTCGGCCGGCGGCGGCCCTCCCTCACGCTCGCAGCGACTACACTTCCCGACGGGCTCTGCGGCAGCGCGGCCGTGTGCGCAGGCGTGCGGCGCCGCGCCGGCCTGGGCCGCCCCGGGCTGCGGCGGCCGGAGAGCCAAGGCGGCGGGCGAAAGGCGGCGGGCCGGCCGGCTGGGGCGTGGCCAGGCTCGCGGTGCCGGCGTGGGCGGGTTCGTCTCCCGCTGCTGAGCTGTCCTGTGTGCGTAGATTGCGCGCCGCTCTCGCGGGAGTCAAGTTTGGTGCTGTAGCGCTTGGCCTGGATCCTTGGGTCCTGTGGAGCCCCCCGAGTCCTCCCGCTGAAGGAGAAGTCCCATTGGACTAGCTCTTCTCAGGGTAACGCGTCCTCTGCCCCTCCGGGGTTGCTTCCCCCCAGCTGCATTCGCCGGCTCTGTCTGCTCTTCTAGGCCTCGCAGACACACGCTGGAGGTTCTCCGCGGAGCAGGCCCCAGATGTGTGTTGGGGATCCCTTCTTCACCCCACCCCCACTTCCCAAGCACCTGGGAAAAGGGGGCCAGACCGTCCGCCCCTCCCGTCCCCACGTGTGCCGCTGCTGGTCGCGTGCCTTTAGCGTTCTTTCAGCAATAGTTCTTCACTGCTGCAAGCCGCAGCTCAGTGTTGATTTGCCATTTAGAAAGTTATGTTGGGGTTTCTTGAGTTCTTGTTCAATCTTTATTGATTTTTGTTTTTCTGGTTTGCTGTACGTTTTATTGATACTTTTGAGGCGGGACTGGTGCGTGCTTGCTGTAGAAGAGGGCGAGAAAATCCTCAAGAAGTTAAATTAGGAAGCTGCAGGCAGCTTCCTGTAGTTGGGGTGTTGATCTCAAGGGAGTCTGACCTCAGCATGGGTAGGCCAATTCGAATTTGGACATCGCTTATTCAGTCTTTTATGAATCCAGTACGTATTACTTGAACACCACTCTAGGCAACTAGAGGTGCCAGCAATGAATGGAGTAGACCATTGGCTTTCTGCTTTCGAGGCTCACATTTTGGTGGAAAGACGCAAAAACAAATACAGTTTGTCACAGGTGACATTCTTACACTGAGTAATGCAGGAAAGAGTGGATGTGGGCAGTTGGGGTTAGGAAGCTGCAGTTTTTTTTTTCCTTTTTTTAATTATATTTTTGACAATCTTTACATAGTTAATTAGGGTAAAAAGTTTCAAGGGCTATAGGAAAGTGGGTAAGACTATTATTTCCATATTGTTTCCTTCGTGTATCTGAGGTTAAAGGGGATATTGAGGGAGAAGCCTCACCCAGTTTGCCACCCACCCCAGGTCCCGGATGTGGGGCATGCTCCAAGATTCTTGCTCAAGTGGTTTTGATAGTTCACCAGTTATGAATTGCTGCCAATCTCGCTACTCCAAGCATGATGAGGTTGTTGAAGAATCCAATGATTGACATAGTCCATCATAGAGTCTCCGTTTGCCCAGTATTTTGCTGGCAATATATAGCTGAGGTGGTTGATTGACCTGTTCTGTCTTCTCTCTTTTCTTGGTTAGGGTTCTGAGTCCGGCAGTTCGATTGGGGAGATCCCCAAACAACCTTTATCTGAGGTGTTCCCAGACCCAGATTCTTGTATGTACTAGCAAGTACAGGGCCATTGCATCAAATGCTGGATTGGTTCTGTTTCCAATCTTGTCTTCCACTGGAACCAATGGGTGTAACAGTCCAGCATGGTTCTGCCCAGCACATACTCGGCCCTCACATAAACCAGTGGGAGCTATAACCTAGTCAGAGCGACCCACAGTAACCCCCACCAGGCCCTCTACCCTGGTTTGCCAGTATGTGTAGCAGACTAGTCCAGTCTGTCCCACATCCCATTCGGTTCTCGTACATGTCGAGGAGTATTGAAGCTTAGTTCCATCTAACCAGCTCAACTATCCAGCCCTCACGGATGTTGTTGGGTGTCTGTCTAGCCACCCCAGCCCCTGTCCTAGTTTTCATGCCCTCCTATGGGAGTGGTAACCCCAGAGGGAGGAGCCCATTATTGCCCTCCCAGACCTCTCCCACTCCTGGATTATGCACTCTCCAGGTGGTTCTGTGGTGTGACTTGACAGAATTACCCCCTAGTGCCAGCTTCTGCCAGCTGATGCTGTGGCTAAGCCCCAACAACCCTCACCCACTCTAATTTTGTTTGCACCAGTAGGAATAATCTGCCCAGCCTGGCTTTTCCCTGATCTAGTCCACATGAGGCGCACTGGTGTTGTAGCCCTCCTTAGTCTGATCTGTCCCCATCCCAGCTCATGCTCTCCAATGGGAGCAGCTGTCCAGCAAAGGAATCCCCCCATATTCCCCCTGCCGGCTCCACCCCCTCCTTTCCTGGTTCTCACGCCTGCTGGTTGGGTGCTGCAACCACATTCTGGTATGGCTCATCTCACCTTGACATTCCATATTGTGCACTGGTTTTTGTCGCAACTGGACCCGGCTTGACCCACACTGTTCTGGTGCTTGGATTCACCAGTGGATGACATGAAATGATTCAGCCTGGTCTGCCCTTGACCCATGCCAAATGTATGCCAATGGGAAGCTTTCCATGGCCTGTTCTGGGCTATTTCTTATCATGCTTCTTGTGCTTACCTGCAGTTCTGTTTCCTGCCATAGGAGTTGCCCAGGCTTCTCCATCAGAACCTCTCCCAATGCCAGATTTTGCGCATACGAGGGGGTCCGTGAGCCAACCCTACTCAGTCCACCTCCTGTCCTAGCAGGAACAGTGGAAGCTGCAGTTTTCTAATACACATTTAGGGCAACAATTTATTGAAAAGGGAATTTTAAAAACAGCTACTTAATGGAGAGAGGGAGACGAGGCAGATGGAGTGGGCTCCTGCAAAAGTCCACAGTGGCTGGACCTGGGTCTGGGCAAAGCCAGGGGCCTGGAACTAACCCAGGTCTTCCACATGGGTGACAGGTCCTCAGTCTCTTGCACCATCGTCACCTGCCCGGGTGTTGGGTTCCAAGCTGGGTTTCCATTTCAGGCTGTTCTGGGATATGGCTTGGTTTTAATACCAGGAGCAGCCTAGGAGGCCTGCCAAGCTATAGTCCAGGGAGATGATAGGGGATGCTAGGAGACAAAAATCTGATTGGAAAAAGGGGTGTGGGAGAGATTGGGTAGGAAAGACCAAACTACTTTGAAAATTTGAGCTTTTGTTCTAAAGGAGATGGGAAGTGTAAAAGAAGTTTTAAATTTACGCTCTCCCCTCCCCTGAGGTTTTGATAACTGCAGTCTCTCTTTAATGAATGGACAGTAGACAGAGCAGTAGAGTGGGAAAGTAATCCTACCAGTTTTTGATGTGAAGAATCACAGGAGCTGTGCAAGAGTAGGAGAGTCAGCAGACACATGCAAGTGGACACTAATTGATAGGCCTCCACACAGGGATAGGAGCTTGATGGGCTTCTAGAGGGAAGAAGAGAGGTGGCTTCAGGCTGCAGAGTTGAGGGGAGGAGGTGTGCAGTGAGTAAGCGTGGCTTTGTTAGGTAGCTGTGTCTCCCAGGTAACAGCCACCTGTAGGGATCTCTGTTCAACTCTGTGACAGACCACCAATCTCTGTATCCTCTGGCTGTTTCCAGCACTAATGTAAATTTCCTTCATAGACATCTGTTTCTTTTATATCTTTGTGTCTTAAGAAGTATGCAGTTTTAATTTATTTTTATTCAAAAGGCAGATTTTACAGAGAGGACAGTGGTCTTCCATTCACTGGTTCACTTCCCAAATGGCTACAATGCCTAGCTGAACTGATCTGAAGCCAGGAGCTTCTTTTTGGGTCTCCTATGTGAATGCAGGGTCTCCAGGCTTTGGGCCATTCTCTGCTCCTTTCCCAGATGATAAACAGGGAGCTGGACAAAGTGGAGAAGCCAGAACTCAAAGTGGCACACATAATGGATGGCAGCACCACAGAGGATTAACATACTATGTCACCTGCTAGGCTCAGAAGTGTGCAGTTTCTTTGACTAACTGAAATGCCAAGGAAATGTATTTGGGGTGTGATATTTTTACTTTCTGGAGATGTTGGAGACTTGTCAAAAAAGCGGCATGATCTGAATGATTTAAAACAAAAGAAAACTGGCAAAATATGTATAAAATTTGCCATCTTAACCATTTTTAAATATGTGATTCACTGACAGTTGCACTAACTTATTGTATTCTATTTCTAGAATTTTTTCCTTATTTTGAACAGAAACTTAAAACCAATATGGAATAACTTCCCCTTGTCTCTTTCACCCAGTTAATAACCTCAACTATGCACTTCTACAGATTTGTATAGTCTGGGTCTTTCATATACATGGAACCATATTAGTATGTTTGTCTTTTTGTATTTGGCAAGTTTTACTAATCATACTTTTTTCAAGGTTCCTCTCTGGGTGGCATTTATCAGAACTCTATTTCTTTTATAATTGAGTAGTATGTCACTGTGTGTGTGTGTCTGTGTGTGCATGTGTGTATACATATTATTTTTTATCCCTTCATGTGTTTATGGACTGTTGGGGTTGTGTGCACTGTGTGGTTATTGTGTGCTAGCGACCTTGGTAAACAAGTGTCCGGTCTAGGAATGGACTTGCTGGGACCTCTGGGAAGCTTTTTGTTTAACTCTTTGAGGGACAACTACATTGCTCTCCACCATGGTGACATGTGTGTGCCACTTTGGCCACTCTCTCAACCAGACTTATTTTGCATTTTATGCTAGCAATTCTAGTGGTGAAGTGGCATCTTACTATGGTTTTGATTTGCATTTTCTTAATGACAAATGATGTTGTGATTC